CTCGAGTCCCAGCCCACCTTGCAACCCAAGGGCAAAATGCTGGCTGGTCTCTTACTGTATGTATGCATATGTACATATGTCTCGAAGCCTTAGTTGTTGAATACACAGAAAGTTAGTTACACTACTCTTGAGATGTGGGCATTGGGCGTTAGTCTTAACTATTAAAATCTTTTTGGCTATCGGGACATTTTCACATAGGTTATATTCTATACATATTGTTAGGCTGTCTGTTGTAAGTCATATGATGTCTGTAAGCCATATAATCCCCCAACCTGTTAGATGTCAGAAGTGCCAAACTTGTGTCTTCTGATATTGATGAGTGAAATTTGAGGACAAAGGAGATTAAGAATAAGAAAAGTTCCTGAGAGACAGGAGGGGTTCTTAAAGTGATTTGCTGCTGAGGTTCTTTGTCCAAGGATATTTTATATGCAAAATTACAACAGGACCCATGTACAACTATGGATCAAACTACAGTCAACCCATGAGTTTATAAGTATAGTGGTTTGGCTAATATTAATCCAACTGGGAAGCAAGCACATAGCAAGAGTATATGGCAAAGGGGCTGTGGAGATAGCTCAGTGGTCTAAGCACCTGCCTAGGCAAACACAAGGACCTGCGTTCAATCCCTGGTACTGCATGCTGCACTGGCCCTGCCAGAGGCAAGCAAGCTGAGCCTGCCGCCACGACTGGGTGTGGTGACGCATGCCTGCAATCCCAGCGCTGAGGAGGCTGAAACAAGAGGCTCACCGTAAGTCTGAGCTGTGTAGTGAGACCCTGTGCCAAATATATAAAGAAAAGAGAGAGAGAGAGAGAGAGAGAGAGAGAGAGAGAGAGAGAGAGAGAGAAAAGGAGCATCATTAACCTTAGCTCATCAGTAACTTTTACCATAGAAAGAACAGAGGCATTCCAGAAAGGCACAGAGACAACGGGGCCCGAATTTCTGGCCACTGGTTTATGTGTCCGGTGCTTATCTGGGCTTACTGGACTAGATGGGGCTGAGATTATTATAATCTCCAGCTGCTGTTTCTCTCCAGGGAGGTTCACACGCCTAACTCTTGTCTCTCCCTGACTTCTCCTCCAGCCACAAGCTTGATGTGTCTTACCTTGTGCACAGGTTTGCTCCAGGGCTCGATTCCTCTCTGATTACTTTTAATTTCCATCTAATTTAGTTGTCTGTAATAATATTCCTACAGAATAAGAAATAACAGTGACAAAGTTTTACAAGAAACATATAAAATGAAAAGTCAGAGTAAATCATATAAGTGTGCCTTATTATTTCTACAATAACTAAATGTTTGTTTAGTCAAAGCCAATAGATGTCAATTAGGTTTTAAATGGTGGGACTGAATTGTGCCAAATA